GGGGAGAGGGTACAAAGTGTGAGGCACAACTTCCCACCCCTTACATAAATTACTTCTGTGTACATACTTAAACGACGTCTTATATTGCTGTTGCTACTGCTAAATGCTACAAATGCGGTGGGAAGTAAGCAGCCATCTCTTTCCTCAACGTTTCTCAGAGTCGCCTTGCCTTCATCAGGCCTGCTTTTGAAAATCATATTGCTTTTCAGGCCCTCCTGAATCTGTTGATAAGCTAGCAGTTCGCTTTTTCACAAGCAAGCAGTAGCGCATTCTGAGAACACTGCAATCGATCCCCGCATAGGTGCTACTTTTTGTAAAAAATGTGCTGATCCCAGTCGAAGACGTAAAAACAAACCCGAGTACAGCAAAATCTTAAACTTCCGACCACAAATTATCTTGACCGTTGCCATTTAGTAAACTGACCTGGTTCGTTAAGAAGGTTTTCAGGCTGCACATTTGACCCACAAGACGGTTTTAACGGGCGCAGCCATTTTAGAGTTTCGGTTGCGACCTATTTCACATTTTCGGAGTGGTATGGCTGTTTGGGAGTGCCCCAGCAAACAGGATTCCCGCACTCTCTGCATGGACAGCTTTAGTAGTCTTTACAATTTTGAGTGGCCAACCACTTTATTTTAAACAAAAGCTTTTTTTATAAAAAAGATAGGCAAGTTAACTTATTAATCCCAGTAATGCTCTGAGAGACTCAAACTGCTTACGAACGAAAGCAAAAGCTGTATTGGCTCGAGAACCAGAAGCATATTTCCTTATTTTGGCAGGACATTTGAGAAAAGATTATTCGGGCAGCGTTGCGTTCGGCTGCGAGTGCGCTGATTTTTCGCGCTCTAATAAATCATATATATTTTGATTAGTCTTCTGCTGGACACTGATTGGTTATAGCATGCGTTGCCCAGCTACGGAGATAGGAGAACATTTTGTGCGTGATTTCATGTGACTGATACAAATGGGAGTTACCTTAAAAACTCGACGTAATTATTATCTTACCATTATTATATCGCTCCGGAGGAGCGATATAATAATGGTAAGATAATAATAAAGTAAGGGTTTTTTTACTATGTAAGGGTTTTTTTTACGACGTTTTCGCTGAAATTTTACTTTTTCCGCTCAAACTTTTTTTTTATTTTCATGGAATATTCTACATTATTTCACTTTCTCACTTCAATAGACAAAAAATTTATGTGGACGCATGAAGCCTGGGATCACCAATATTATTCGCGCAGTTTTCCTGTTATTTCGCTGGAGAATTCCAAATCTGCTGAGTTGTGGATTTCTACGATTCTGTGTTTTTCTGGCCAGGATGACACTGTATTAAAATTCCAGCACTGAAAATTGTACCTCAGCAGGCGCTGCTTTTCTGGTTTTTGCTAAGTGACATCCCTTTTTGGTAGACTAATGTAACGATCTGTAAATCGTTAAGGAGCAATGGTACGGCCCGTCGTATCAGATCCGGGTGACGCCCTTCTAGCGTTCTCCAAATCATTTAAAAAGATACGGCGGGCTGGTACCACATATACAGCACGAAGTGGTCGACGCCGGAAAAACAGAGAAAAGCTTTCAAAATGTAAATATCGTTCTACCAGTCTGCCCAATCTGAAAGACCTGTGTGAGGTTGTGCGAGATAACGTTAAACAACCGGAAGGGAAGAGGCAGAGTTCGGCTGTGGAAGCGCTGATACCGCTCCAGGCGAGGAGCTGGCGACGCCGATCGAAATCGGTATTTTCAACGGCAACAGCTCTCAAGGTTGCACCAACTTCGGCCCAAAGTAATGGTTATTATCAAGGCCCCTACTGGCAACCCAACGGGCCTAGCTACACTGGTGGTGCACCAGGCTCTGTTGTGGTGCCAGAACATTTGTCCATCACTTCTGTTCCCAATACAACGCTTCATCATCTTGTGAAACAGGCGCAAATTGTAAGTTCCCTTTCTCGAAATTGACTTTTCACATTCATCTGTATTGTTATCAGTAGCTGTGGCAGTAATAAATGAAGGGCATGTGTGCGGCGATAAAAAGCGGCAAAAAGAGTTTGCAGAGGGAGAGTTTATTAAGACTCTTTGAAAGCACATATCCCAATGAATCAGGTAAATTTGCAGTCTGTGTTTCATCACTTAGCTTTAAACATGAAAGGAGCATTGAGTGCGATTAGGAGTGGGAATCGTCAGTACAACCTCCTGCTCGCCGTGTAAGCAAAACGAGGAGAACAGAAGTGATAAACAGCTGAAGAGAGTGGGACCATTCACAACTGACTGGTGAGAATGTAGTCTCATAGGCATGAATCTTTATGAGAAAAAAAAAGGATAAAGTAAAAGGCAAAGTAGAAAGTGATATGTGGCTAATGTATCAGCACACATACACATGCGGCCCATACCCACAGGCAAATCTATATGCGCACACACCTGCTAAACGTACAAACAACAAACGTACCCACATGCACAAACACACACATACATATAAACATATGCACAAAAGCATACAGATATAAGCACACACACTCCACACACACACGTACAAACACATACACGTAATGTATAGTTTCGTACGTCCTTTTCCTTAAACTGTTTCATATATAATTCGTGATATCAGTATATTGCCTATGCAAACATCGATGGCGCATTGAGGGCTATGGGTGAGAATGGTGGAAGGAGTGAGAAATAAACGCTATTTTCTGGCCTGGTGTAGGATGCCAAATTCCTACATATGGAAGTAAGATATGGGAAAATTAGCCACTGCACACAATTTTCAACTAGCGGCTACAAGATTCTGTTAAAAAAGTGCTTTGCAACATTCACTGGAAAAGTTATAAAAGCTGACTGGCAGGCGCTAACAGCGCCAGAAAAAACAAACAAACATGCCAGGAAATACCGAGCACTAAAGGACCAGGAAAAATCCATATTCAAGAAATCGGATGAAAAATAGCATTTTTGGCTAAGTATCGTGCAGGTTCCAGAAAGAGGCGCCATTTTGTAGAGATGCACTATCATCGAAATGCGTTATCTGATCGGCAGACATTCTCTTCTTCTGCAAAATTGTTTTGCGCTAGCATGAAAAATAGGCTGGTTCAGTGGTCTGAACCCAGTGGGTTGTCTGCGACAACAGTTTTCAAGATAGTTTGTCCGTCCATTTCTTATTTAAAGTAAGAAATCACATAAAGAAAATGCCTTTGTGCTAGTAACGACATTCTTCTTATAGCTGAGGAGGATGAGTGGTATTTTACTAAAACATTTAGAAAGAGAGTGAAAAGCCTCATTGATAGCAAAAAGAAATAATTTTTTAATAAGGATTGTGAAGACTACAAAGATCAGTGAGAGAGTTAGAACAGGAGTAATAGTATGGGATGCGTGCGTGAGAGGTCCAATTTGTGTGATATGCGTGCGAATGTGTGATGTCCCGAAGCATATGAGTTGTACAAAGCGAATCTACGATAACTGGATCGAACAACTATAAGGATATTTTATTAGAAACAGATTCGAAGGCTCAAGATGCCCAATTGGGCTATGATAAGGGCTATCAAAAACCATTTCTCACAAATTACTCTGAAGTGGATGGGAATAGCAATCGCAAATTACCACACAAGATGCCCTCACTGGGCCGTACGAACTAAATGCACGAACGGTCACAAATACTAAAACAGTACAGAAGTTATGATCAAGATATCAAAGGAAAGTACGGGCGTTGGCTTGGCGGGATGTGCGGCTTAATGAGTCGAACGAATGCCCGGACTGCGGATGACCTTTCCTTTTATACATCTGGAATGGAATTTCCATCAACGACCGAGGACGGTTTTTTCCATCCTCCGATTTGGGAACTGTGCGCGGAATTAACACCTTATGTTTGTAATTACGGCAGTTTTTCCTATTTCCCAATCTGGGAATAGGGTCCTAGATCGTCGAAGAGATTCCCAACAGACATTCTGTTTTATGTTTTGACTTACGTCAGAATGTAACGCCGAAGTATTTAGTTACAAATGCTTTCGCGAAAAGATTCTGATAGAATCTTTTATCTTATATTTTATAATATATTTTTTTTATTTGTTAATTTCAACTTTTTTTAAAAAATATTTTAAGGTTTCATTTTGAACTTCATATCCTTTGCACAGGAATGCTGCATTAGCGATGCTAGCTTAAGGTAGCTGAGGGTTAAAATGCTATAGACTGTTGTTCACAAGCGATACAATCTGAAATTGCATCCTAATGCTGGTGTGAATACGCTCGTATTCCAGAATAACTGAATACATCGGGTAGTTATCAGTGCCTACGTTCCATTCAAAATTAAGTATGAATGTACTGATAAAATGCGGGAATGATCTGTGCCAGTTCTGGCTGTACGGAAAGGCGAAAACCAGTCATGTGTTAGTACGCACCCTATATTAGGGACCGACATCAAAAGTTGGTTTTTTCTTCGTAAAAGCAGAAAAGTAAACGTTGAAGAGAAGCTGGTTAATCGGCTCGTCTTTATCTTTGTATTGTCCTCCTGAGGCAGCACAGGCTTCCAGAGAAGCTGGACGGAGTGAAGTGGGCAGGCGTTAAAACGATTTCAAGGAGTGCCAACCCAGACCTTGTTGATTTTCTAAAAGTCGGAAATTTCATTTCGGAAGTAATTTAGCACCCACATTTAGTGATTCTGTGTCCGACCACAACTCTAACGTTTGAGTAGCAGTAATGCAACAGCCACAACAACTACTGACTTGAGAATGATCGGGAATGGACAGCTCACACCTATGCTTAAATTTACATAATCATGCGCCATTGCGCTTTTCGAGCAGATAATTTGAGGGCGAGGTAGCCGCCATTAATCAAATTGCACAAGCAAATGATCGGTCATACACTTT